CCCAAAATCTTTTCGGAAAATTTTGAAGAAAATTTTCCAGCATGTTTCTTTTGTTCAATGCACACTCTGTATTCCCACGCAGCCTTATGGCGGAGGTGGGACTTCATAGCCGAATGGCTTCCGTCGGCTTCCGTTGTGTTTTGCCCACCCTGCCCTCCCTTGGCGGGTGATGTGCCATCGTCCGAGTCGTCGGCGATGTGAGTGTGTGTGGCGAGGTGTCCCACTGGTGTGGGCCCCGTGAGCATGTCCACCAAGTCGGCGGCATGTGAATTCAAGAATTGATCACCCCTTGATTTCGTATGCCGATACTGAAAAAAGAGAGTTGTGCGAGCGCGGTCGATTGAGCGAGCTTCCTGCAATTGATATGAAATATATTTGATTGGACTCTCTCTATTGGAACTTTGAAATCTATGATTTTTTTTGGAGCTACCTTTCAACATGTGAGTTTTATGACTCAATGTTGTGGTACATGCTTGATTTTGGGATAAAGAATAAAGCAACAATATTGTCATCGAGCTCAACGTCAAGTGGGCAACATACCGCGACCAGTTCTGCATGCACAGTCATTTTGAACGCAAAACTTTTTTCTTTGCGATCACCGACCATTCGTTCTGATTTTCGCAGATGAGGTGTGGTTACAGTATTGTTTTGAGCTTTTGTGAAATTGACATTGGATGATGCATGCTTGATGGGCTTGCAACCAAAACAGATCACCTTGGCTTGTTGTCTTTGACATGGGAGCTTTGAGCTGGTTCGACCATTAAGTGGGTTGCGTAACCAGGGCATGCACTGCACGGATACATAAAACATGAAGAGGCACGTACGTTGATTGATGTTGAGGCTGATTCCTTGGTATTTTTGTACGTGCATTTAGCGGCATAAACATGCGGATAGGTTTGTACGTTTTTGGTGGTGATTGCTTAGATGCGTATGTGTAGAGGTATGCATGGATTTGCGTACAATTTACAGATAAGAACAAGTACACGACTCTTGTAAATGTTTGTAGCAAATATACATTGTCACTTCAATGTGTGTAGGGTTGTGCAGAAGAAAGGTTAGGCGTATTGGTTTTTGCGAGATAGTCCTTCTGGCACAAGGCGTGCTTGCCGCTCGTGCATGGCCTCGGCTGGCAACCGCAAAAAGTTTGCAAATAGGCAGGATTTGCTTCAATCATTTGGGTCAGTGCAACGGTGAGAGCTTCTGGCGCCAGTAACCTGAACACCCTCCTCGGCGCTCCAAAAGAAGTTGCAAAGGCACATGCTGCACGAACAAGATGTTATGCACTGTATACCTGAATTGTTGTGATTGATAGGCGAACTACGGTCCTGCCGTGACCCGTCGGAGGCATTGCGACTGGAGGCCAAATCGTTGCTTTGATGATAGCAGGTACGATCCGGGGGCGTTGTCAAGCCAGTCGCCAAGCCGAAAGGATGCCAAATCGAAGCCATGTTCTCACATGGCTGGCTAGCTTGGCGCTGCGGTGAATGTCCAGTTTTTTGCAGGATTGGTATCTCTTGGCAAAGCACCAGCGGCTTCTTCAGTCAATGCGCGCAAGGCTCTTTGCATTCGCGTGATGCAAGGGTGTCATTGTACTTGTTGAAATTTGCAGGGCGCTGCATGGAATCAGCTGGAGGAAGACGCCAAGAAACGAGCCGAGGAGATATTCAGAAGTTTCTGCGAGGCGTTGCATGAGGAGTTTGGTCCCTATCCGTGCAGGAGGAAAGTGCCAAGAAGAGGGATGATACGAGACCAGACTGGTGCGCGTTTTGTTTCGTCGACATACACGTGCGATGCGGGACGTCGAATGCAACAGCAGTTCAATTTCTTGAGGGCCGTCATCGATTTCAAAGACCTAGACAAGCCCCTGGAGAGGGAAGACGAAGACGAAGAGGCCTCCACGATTTGCTTTCAATTGAGCTCATGGCCCAACCTGCGAGGAAATAACGGAGTTTGAAAACGCCAGGGATGTCAAGGCACGGGTGATGCGTGTGGAGTCTTGCTGGGAACCATGGCGTTAAGGACGGATGGTTCGAAGCGCCGGCGCCAGACGAACCATCTTCAGGCTGATGCTGATGACAAGCAAACCCCGAAGTCGGATTAGACGATGGATTCGTGTAGCTGCAGCGAATAAGATTCAGCGCGGTGCCACGGCTTTGTCCTTCCTGGCAATAGAACCTTGCTACGAGTATGCCGATGAATCGAAGCACCGTTGCTCGGGATCCGATGGTGCGGGTCCAGGAAATAAGTTGAAAGAAGCGAGGTTTTGAGATCAGTGTTTCAATCACCAGACGGCCAAGTTTCCGTGGTTGTGCCAGCACCAGACCGTCACACGGCCAGGCCGTGCGATCTTCATCGAACGAGACGAGGAGCACTGGTGAGTTCCCGCCTCTTTGGTTCCTGTTCTGCTGTGACAATGTGAAGGATCATGCCCCGGAACACATGGCTCTGCGAGAGA